AGAAAAAATCATGTATTATACATACCAAATAAAATATCAAATGAAAAAAAAGGCCGCAATTATGCATGTTGGGTATTCGTCCGTTGAAGGTCCACGCTTGAGACGGAGACTTTTTTTAGTACTTATTCAGAACAATTTTCAGAAAACCAAATGAGCGGGAACAATAGCAAACAAGTCTAGACATACATTTTTTTATCGATTTTAACATTTTTCTTATCGATTTGGAGGTCAACACACCATCATTATAGAGGTCCTCATAACCTTGACCGGAAAGAAGTCAACATACTATCACTATGGAGTAAGGGTACAACTTGACAATGCCAACTATCCATATAAGTCAGTTGAGTACAACATCTTATTAGTTTGATAACCCTAATGAAAACATGCCAAAACATTTCTACCAACAGTTTAAGGTCAGTTGACCACAAGCTGGTTTAGGGCCAAATTAGCTTGTAGGCCCGGCCTATGACAGTGTCTATATACTACAAGTCTTTTCCTACACGCCAAAATTGTTATTTAAACATAAATAGGATGGACAAAAAATTACTTTTAAAATATTTTTTTCTGCCCATAATCCTGCTTTATTTTTAGAAAGTTGGATTTAATAAATCAAATATAAATCAGTATGGCATAAATTATTCACTTATCCATTATTAAACATAAAATGGGAATATGCAATGACAAATGGATATTTCAGAAAATTGGGGACATTTCTTATCATTATGATAGTAATTACTTACAAAAATTGGGGACATTTCAGTGTTTAAACGGATAAATTAGTTGGTGTGGAGTTACTATATGAATTGTTTGCTAAAACCCAATGACAATGGTCATATTATATTTTTATAAAAAAATATAAGAAAATTAATTAATAATAAATATCATAATTTGAAAAGTATGAATTTCTTAAATCATATATTATTAAAATGATGTAGTGAATGAGATAATGGATGTATACCTTGCTAAACTTCAGAAATAGGATTTATTGGCTCTTTCCAATAAGACTAAGCATATCTCGAAAAATGAAAGAAGGCTAGCTCCTCATATCTTTCCCTCTGGGCGTCGGGCTTTGATCCCATTCCGAAGGGTTCTGCGCCTTAATCCACTCCCAACGAACGAAGCGAAGTATAATATAGAATGTATGTAACATTAAGTACCATGAGTAGCATTTCTTTGTTGTTATCATTATTATTATTGAGATAATGTAAGTATATAAATATAATATAGAATGTATGTAACATTAAGCACCATGGGATAGCATTTCTTTGTTGTTATCATTATTATTATTATTATCATTTTGTTTTATTAATTATTTTTGGTGTTTGACTTGCATGACCAATTCATATCATAATGATAAGAAATACACAAGCGACAACATATTTAAACGTGAGGCATAAGGAATTAGCCTAGGATTAAAATACATAGGGCTATTGTTAGGCCATAAAGGGCCCAACTAGTGTTGGCCCAGCCTCATTGTAGGGTTTGGAGCCTCCCAACGAGGTCCATTAATTGTGCTTTTCCACTGTACAACAAACTTTATGGCTAATGGACTTTAAATTGAACAATTTTATTTATGATGAAAGTTTTTTTTTTCATTTTTATTTAATCACTCAACTATTCATATTATGTCACCTGATTACCTATAAATTCCAATAGCATAGTTATAATTTCTCAAAAGTAATTATTATTATTTTTATTATTATTATATATTGTTAAACAAAATCACTGTTAAAAAAATACCTCCCAACCTTGGCCTAAGCTTCGACCTGTCCCAAGAGAGGGATGCCAGAGTGGGTAGATCGAACGAGACACTGCCTCTCATTTCGACGCATTTCGTTTTATTTCATCTCATTTCGATTCATTCCCTATTCTTGGTATTTAGGGGAGCTTTGTTTCACTTCGTGCAGCTTTTAAAGTTGGGTCTTAGACTATCAAAGGTGTCTCTTGCTTTCAGACTGCTGGTTCTGTTGTGACTGAAGCACAACAGCATTAGTTGACTTACACTTAGTGAAGGTTTTTCTCTTTTACGGTTATGAGTGTTTCGGGTATGTTGGGCTTGACCCCTCGCATAAAGATAAGAAGTAGGGAACCAAAGATCTTAAGGTCTTTCCAGGAGGGTGGGAATCCTGAGCCAATTCCTCGATCTCTGTCGCTTTTCCCGGAGCCCTATCAATCGCATAAAGATAAGAATCTCATCGGTGGGAACTTGGACGTCGAGAGCTGGGAGACACTTTGTGAGATCCAAGAGCGGCCCTAAGGAGCTAGAGCCACAAAAGAGAATTCCTCGAGCTCTCGCTTTGCCGTTGGTACCTCCCATCAGAGCTATCGCTGTGACGGAAGGAGCCTGACACATATTTCTAACTAACAATTATAATTAATTAATATATGATTATTTTTACAGCACATAAACGTTAATCATATATATCTAGTAATTATAATATTTTTCATTTTACTTTATTTAAAAAAAGATGACTATATATATATATATATCATATATGAAAATTAGAGTAGAATTAAAAAATATGTTCTTTTAAATTTGATATAAACTTGGTTTGATGGTATTTAATATATGAAATTAATAAAAAAAATGATTAATCTAATTAAAATAATAATAAAAGATTATGATAATTACCAAGCATAATTGGTAAAATCAAACATGTTGATGTCTTAATGCTAAACATAAATTTATTTGGTGAAACGAATCAGCAGAACAAGCCTGTTGGCTTAAACTTATTAATTACACTAATTTAAAAATAATTATGGCATGATTGGTATACAGGAATAAAATTTCGTAGGAATTGAATCAATTGATGATTGAAATGATTATGGGAATGGAATGAAACAAGTTTTGTCATTAATGCGTTTGGTATGCAGAAAGAATATGACTTGAATGGAATGATATTATCATTTTTTATTATAAAAATAAATAATTTTTTTTTAAAAAATAAAATAATTTTAAAAAATTATAATTATTTTATTTCTTAAGAAAATATACTATATTTTATTAAATAAATTTTTGTATTGCTACGCTCATAAATATAATAAATTATTGAATTGTGTATTCATATACATATTGATTAATACAAATATATCATTACGTAAACCCTATAAGTATATGTTGTCGAAAATAATTTTTTATATTATAATTTAATTTATGAATAAATATATAACATATATGATGTATAAAAATAAAATAATATATTTCTAAATTATATATAAATGCTTTTTTTAGTTTTTTTTAAAAGTATTTAATATATGTAATTAAAAAATAAATAAAATTAAGTTTTTAATTTTTTTATTTGAATTTTATTTTTTAAAATAACTTTATTTAATATATTTTAATCATGGTTTATTTTATTTTTTGAAAATTGATTCTACACATATTGGAATGAGAAAACTTTCTATTTACTCTGTAATGGCTAATCTTATGGAGATTGGGTTTTGCCATTCCTATTGGAATGGTTATTTCTTTCCAAAAAATATATCAATCATAGGATAAGGAATGAGTAAGAAATGAGTAAGGGAATGATCATTCCATTCTCATCTCATTCTTTCATACCAATCATGTCATTAGAGATTAGAGACCGAAAAAATGCGGTAACTAATTATCATGCAAACAGAATAGACGGCTGATATCACGTGACATTGCAAGTTTCCATCTCAGTATCAACATGAAAAAAGTAAAAACCATAAAATAGATAAAATGATAAATTACTGTTTACCAGCTGAAAATATAAATAAACTACAGTTGACTAAATAACCCGTATTCTAAATCACCTAAATTTAATAAATGTGTGACAGATGAATATAAGACCTGCTCTAGATAATTAAATAAGATTGTAAAATAATCATTTAATTATATAATTGGTGATGAAAATGGTATCCAAAGATAATTCCCTGCCGTTGCCAAATTATGTCAGAAAACAGTTTGGTCAAATATTGCACAACACAAATTCAATTTCTCGTTTCTTGGTAGGAGTTGGAAACAATCTATATATTATTTTTATTCATTGCATATAAACCAATCTATTGCCCAACTAATTAGTCATTTAATCGTATAATACCATCAAAATAATCACAAATTTTACGGTCTATTAGTTAGATAGTTATATTTTCTTAATTTATACAAGTAGCATTCTTCAAACCTACTCGATTGAACAATGAGAAGCCAATTGAAATCGAACAAATGTTGATGTTAATCTACATGATGATTAAATAGTACGTTACATATTTCTTATAAAAATGTATATTTATATTAAGAAATATCAAACTTATTATAGTTACATATTTATATTACAAAATATCGAATTTAGTATAGTTTCTGGGGCAGGTTTCTATAATGCTATATGCTTATTATGTATTTTAGTCTTTAAAATATGACATTTGAATGTAAAAATATTAAAAAAATTTGATCATATAATCATTGAACAAAACAGCATCATTAGTTCTTCTACTGTTCAATAATTAACAATTAGGTCCTTTTAAAATTTATACTACAAGAAACAAAAAACATTATTGAAGAAAAAATAACCAATTTGGTGTGTGTGCACACAATCATCAACCTACATAAAGGAAAAAAGGAAAAGATAAGTCGTGGATTCCATTTGTCCCCTCACAACTTGTCTTCAACATCAAAAGCCGGAAAAGCAATTAAAGTCAACACTAGCAGGCAGTTTTTTTACATCACACGCCAGTGAAGAAAAAGAAAAACCCTAACAAAGCATCTAACTTTACTTGTAAATAAAGATAGTACAAACTACAAAATATAGATTAAACGCCCCAAAAAGAAGTAAAATTTATATCAATAAAAACTATAATTTAGAAACAACTCAAGAACAAGAATTGCCATTGCCCTTGAATTCATCCAAGCAACAACTAATCTAACAANAAAAAAAAAAAAAAACTCTAAAACATAACAAACACATTACAAAGCAAAATGCATTACAAAGATTTCTCCTTTTTTTCTTTTTTCCTCACATTTTCCATTTGATCAACAATATTCACACCATCAATATTGGTTTATCGAAGATTCTCGAGGGGACCGCGAACCGGGCCGAAAACGAACGTGACAGGTCATCCGGGTCGGAGCACACAAAGCCCGGATCAAAATTTTGCAAGTAAGAATGTTCGTCGTAAGTGAACCTCGTCGAGTTCGAACAACGCAACACACTCTTCTTATTTTCTCTCTTCAACTTCCTCCATAGTTGTGTCCAAATGGAAGATTTATTGTTATTATTCGGCCTTCTTACGGCCGCCGCCATGTCACCGTACGACACGAAACGGTCGTATTTTCGAATCGAATGGCTTCGCGGCCAGCACGCTGCATTGTTGTCATGCCTCAAATTGTGCCATTTGTCTTGATCTTCCATTAGTTCTTCAAAGCTACTAATGTGTTTACTATGATTTTTTTGTGGAATTTTTTGTAGTGTAGTGTAGTGTGCGGAGAAATAAAGAATAGAGATGATTTTGGAGGGGGGATAATTATATTTATATAGGAAGATAAATATTTGTCCTTTTTGAATTTTTTGTTTTTTCTTTTTGCTCCAAAAATAGTTTTTAATGTATAGTAATAGAACTTTCACGTGATGTGCAAATATGATGGCCAACACGCATGGGACAAATCTTGGGTTAGATCTGTCATTTTGGGGGCAGGCCGAATTTGATTCAAAAACAAAAAGTCATCGGGTAGACTTGTGAAGAATCTTCTGATGATCACTTTGTTTAGTATTTTTATTCCACTTGTATTTTGTAATCTGATGTAATATGGATATTTACAGAAGTTGTTCGAAACTATTTATAATTAAGACATATTCTTGAGGGTTTTACATATTTTACAAATTACCAAGTGTACTTTAATTTCTTTACAGAAGTTGTTCCTATATATTGTTCTATAATTACATTAACTCAGCTAGTTTTGAAACATCAAACTAAATAGAAACTAGAGCATAATATCTGAATGATAAATTCTTGGAAGAATCACAAACTTTAGAATAAAGATTCCATTTTGTGTCGGTTTTGACCAATGTTTAGGCGAGAAAAGAAATTACTGTCAACTTGACCTTTAATTTAATTCTTGAGGGTCCTTAAATTTTTTCATATCTTTCAAGATCACGAATTTTCAAATAGAGATGATGGTTGTAATATCGAAAACTATTTGGAGTGCTGAGTTGACCAGCATTTCCTTTTCCTTTTTCTTTTTCTTAATTAATTTCAGATTTTTAATTTTAGATTTTGATCTGCCCTTTGGTTTGTTTGAACAGCTAATCAGTATCACTGCAAATGCTGTTATTGATACTTCCATTATTTCCCATTTGACTCACCGGTATATATGAGTGAAAATGTTATGTGCCAAAATCAATTTTTATTTGAAATGAGACTTATAAAACTAAATTAATTGATGATAGATACTTTTATTTCACCATAATATAAAAAGTTAGCATTTAATGGTTATATAAGTGGGAAGATTCGTACAATGTGATTGGTCTAACAACTACGAATTTTTCATATTAGTGAATGATGCACGAAATGTGTCTAGATACCATCCTTCTAGATGGTTTAAGCCTAAATGAAAGAGAGGATAAGGGTTGGTAACATCAAATTGGTGCTTCTTGCGTCATTTCTTTTCCTTTCCACCTTTTGTCCTTATCTTCTTAGCATTAAATATTAGAAAGAGTTTTCCTAGTGCCTTTTGAGTTCAAAATAAATTGTTCATCGTTATGTCTTTTGCCTATATGGCCTCCATTTTAATTCCAAATCTGCAAAAAATTATACGTTAAAAATAATTATAAAACGTGTTTTTTCTTTGACATGATTTTAAAGTCCATGCCTGACTAGGGTTGTCTTGTATCAATTAACTAACCTCCAATATAATACACTCTAGAAGAGAGTAGGCACGTTTCGCAGATAAATTCAATTAACTCCTACCACTTTTATGTGGTTTATTATTTGGTTAGTAATTAAAGTTTATTAACCCAACCCAAGAGCACGTGGTGAGATGGTTGGGGTCTCTCCCAGCTTAACCAGAGGTCTCGAGTTCGAGCCCTGGGAATGCAGCTGTGTTAAAACTCTTGAGGTAGAGCTTTGCCGCCCTTGTGGTCCTACCCGGCTCGATTCCAGATTAGTCGGTCCCTTCGGGGATTCAGAAACCGGAAGGTTCATTGTACCAAAAAAAAGTTTATTAACCCAATCAACGTTCTCGAACAATTCCGTTTACTTAAACAAGCCGACTTCAAATAATTAATCAAACATTTTATTAAACAAGTTTGACAGAAATTGGGGGAAACGGGCGCGGGCCCACTAAACATGAAGCGCACAATGAACGGGAAAAGCTCATATGAAGCCTAAGTGGGGTTCCATCCCAAAACCAATTGGTGGAATGAGGAGTAGCCTATTAGTCTTACAAAGTGGGTTTATTTTCCATATATGAACGATGTAGGACAACTCACAAGTCATATTCTAACACGCCCCCTCACTTGTGAATCCTTCGAAAAGCCCAAGTCCAACTCGGCAAAGACCTCCGAAAGATTCCCCCACTCTCTCCACCGCTCACCAAAACGACCCGGGTATATCAGGCTGTCCCCATTCATCGTCAGCATTTGGGCCTACTCTCGGGTGAGGACCACACCAGAGTACTCACAGATGAAGGAGCCTGCCGGGATTAAGTCCAAAGACCTCACTCCCCAGTTTGTCTCCCTCGATCGGAAGACCTCAAACCTATTCCTCACCCCTTTTTGGGTCACCTTGTTACGGCATATTGGGGGGCAGCGGCAGTTGTGCCCACACTAAAAAATCAGTGGCTTTCCCCACACTAGAATCCCATTCAAGTTGTATGCAAACTCGCCACCATTCCTCACCGAGCAGAGGCAGCTATCCGAACAGCCCCCGGCATAGTCACACTCGACCCCACTTCTCGTGCTGTACATGAAGGAAGGGAAAACATAACTCATGAGGTATTCATAAGAGACAGGATCGTGATTGGAGTCCACGCCGTTAAAAAAGAGCACCGGGAAGTTCTCCTTCTTGTCCGAGAGGTCAAGAGCCACATATCCCATGGGCGGGTCCTCAAGGAGGCGTGTTCTCAAGCTCATACAAACCTCATCACCGAACTCCCCATCTCATCTTGATTCTCATTTCTCACGAGTCGGAACTTTTAGACACCATAGCCTGACCGGCTCACATTGAACCAGGTTGTCGACAACTTTGTAAAGCCCGTCATACACATAGACCTTGCAGCTACCTTCATACTTAAAGTCGCGGATTACTCGTACCTCAATCCCGTAATGCATGTTCCTCTCCATGGCCAGGTTACCGCGCTCCAGCCTCTGGTCCTTGACCTGCCTGCCATTCTTGTCCTGCCCACCTTGACCAGTGTACACTATTACATCGCCAGCATCCTCATCGTCTTCATAACCTCCAGAGACTATAATGCTGGTGGCAATCGACTCGCCGTTCAAGCTCTGGTTGATGGGGATGTAGTCAATTTTGGCCTAGGCCTGGCCGTGGAGGCCCAGGACACACATCTCCATCCAAAAAAAGAAGACGTCCCCAATCTTGACCCCCGGAATCTCGCCACGACCCGCTTGCCCTGGTTCTGCCACAGCCTGCGAAACTTCCTGACTCCGTGGGGTCCGCCCTTGTCCGGCGATTGGGGATCACCTCGCGGGTGTACGCACAGAGGGCGTAAAAAACATACGGGCCCTGCGGATCGACCCGCGGAAGAAACGAGTGTCCTCGATCTTCAAACCCATGACCCGGACCATCTCGAACGAGTGACTTGGGTACTTCTTGACGCCGCGGGGTGAAAGGTGGGGCCCTGGTCCGAGAGAAACGGAGACAATGGCGGGCGGGTTCGGGTCGAGCTCGGGCAAGGCTTGGCCGCCGGCGAGGTAATCACTTCCGCACGATAGCAACGGCGTACTGGAGCCTGGTGGTGGCGACGAAGGAAGAGGGTGTAGAGAGGTGGTGCAATGGAGGCGGAGACGGGCCGAAAGGTTTAATTTTGGGGACAAGAAGGGGGGAGGTGGAGGGGAGGTTGTTCAACTGCACCGTGTAGCTGGAACCCATTTCTCATATCTTCTTGTGGTGACGATCGGAGAGAGTAGAGGGTTTTCTTTGTCTTGGTTTTTCTTTCCTTTTTCTATAAAAAAATGGCAGAATTTGGTGAAGAGAGGAAGAGAGAAAAGGGAGTGAAAGAATGAAGAGTGTGGCTGGTTTACTTTAGAGCATGCAACTGGTTGAAGTATCAGTACTACTTCAGAGTATGCATTTCTCATGGGGACGCTACTTACAATCGTTTGTGACTAACAGCATCCTTCATTGGGCCACTGCCTGACCTAGCCCATTCCCCTTCTGGACTCAACCCACCTCTTTTTTTGTCTCCCTGGCCATTTCTTTGGGCGCAACCCTCTCTCTCAAGCCCAAACACCTCAACTTCACTCTCTGAGCCGGCCACCGAGGCCCGTTTACCTCTCCAACCCCAGCCCACTCAGATCCCTTCGCAGCCCACCCTCACTACTCATACCCAGCCCATCTCTCACCTAAACCCCTTACAACCCACTCCTCTCATGAGTCTCATCCCACAGCCTTCCTTCACTACCCATACCCGGCCCACCTAAACAAAGTCCCCTCAGCCCACTCTTTCTCAACCCCTCAACCCATCTCCCATCACCCACCCCAAACAGGCGACACCTTTTCTGGCCACCACCACCACAATGAGGCCACCACCAACAGCCGACGACCCCAGCGTTGGCGTTGGCACCGGCCAGTATCCACCATCTGGCGAGACTACTACGGTCGAAATTCTTGGCCTGAAGCCCTTTGCTCAATCGGGTCTCACCCCGACGACAACCGCCGCGGCCTGTCATGGACACGACCGTGGGGGAAGGAAAGGCAGCTACTTGGGGTCTAGGAGACGGAAAGGCGATGACTTTGGGGGGGAAAAGTGATGGTCGTCAATGATGTTTCTGTGGGAAATGGGAAGACAGAAATGGATGAGTTAGGGTTTACAGTGACCAACGAGATCGAGAAGAAGACTAAGGGTTGCTATATTTAAATTAGTTTGGGCCCACATCGTGAGTTGTGGGCAAAGTGATGGTCGTCTATGTTAGAATATCACTTGTGAGTTGTCCCACATCGTTCATACATGGAAAATAGACCCACTTTATAAGACTAATTGGCTACTCCTCCTTCCACCAATTGGATTTGGGATGGAACCCCATTTGGGCTTCATATGAGCTTTTTCCTGTTCATGGTGCGCTTCATGGTAGTGGACCCGCACCCGTTATCCCCCAGTTTCTATCATGGTATCAGAGCCGATTCTATTGGTGACCATGCGATGATGTACCCGTCACCCAGCCAGTTGGACTTGGGCTTTCGAAGGACTCACAAGTGAGGGAGCATGTTAGAATATCACTTGTGAGTTGTCCCACATCGTTCATAGATAGAAAATAGATCCACTTTATAAGTTTAATGGGCTACTCCTCCTTCCACCAATTGGTTTTGTATGGAATATAGTCGAGTCGAAGTTGTTCACAAACAAACGTTTTATGTTTGAGATACAACTTGTTGAAGGTTATAAATTATTAAAAGGGCCAAGCTCAAGACAAGCTAGCCTTTGGTTCATTTATTAAACGAGGAAGAGCTTGAACTGAAGCTACTCATTTCGAAGAACATTATTGAGTTATCGCCAGACGTAACGATTAGACTAATAATAAATCTTCTTACTTCTAAAACTAAAATGACATTATAAAAAAAATATATAATATTTATTAATATTAATATGCGTTATTATTTAAGAAAAGTACGACAAATCGATCCATCTACTAGTTAGATCACCTCATTATTGAGTTATCGCCAGACGTAACGATTAGACTAATAATAAATCTTCTTACTTCTAAAACTAAAATGACATTATAAAAAAAAAATATAATATTTATTAATATTAATATGCGTTATTATTTAAGAAAAGTACGACAAATCGATCCATCTACTAGTTAGATCACCTCATACGAAATTTGTGATATTTGCTACTCCAGTTATAATTCGAGCTTCTTTTTTCCTTTTTAAAGTGCAAATCAAGAGAACAAATTTATTACTCACCTTAATAAGTTGATCATCATACAAAGTATATCATTCTGAGGTTTCAAATAACAAAACAATTGGATTCACCGACTGTCGAGTGACCGACTCACGGAGAACGTTGGGTTACGATAAAAACGAACGAAGCAGGCCTTAGTATGTAGTTCTCGTAGTGGCCTGTCCATAAGACAACTCAAGTCCATGTAAACTAAGACGATTCAACCCCATGTAAACTACAACTCTACAAACGGCCCGTTTAATCTATGATCCAAAACGTTCAGCCCTTCTCTAGTCTCCAGGTGAGTCTATGCGAATCACTTACATTAAGTGAAAATAGAAAATAGCTATTCTCACTCAAACTATATTAAGTTCTTCGCACCAAGCTAACTTTCTTCACCCAAAAAAGTGAAAATGCAATGCGCGATAAATATGTGACAATTATTTAATGGATATATAACAATTATATATGAATATGAGACAGTTATGAGATTCATTCGTAACTCTTAGTACTTTTTTGGGTGTAAAAGTGAAATTGTAAGCGAACAATTTAAAAATCTTATTATATTTTTATGGTAGCATGAAAAAAATACTCGCCATTATTTTAATATGAGTCTTTTTTTTCAATATATGGATACATGTTGACCAAAGGGTAATAAACTCGCAATGGTGATAAACTCGCCTGACCTGCAGCTATTGCAATGCATGCCAGATCTACCCCACAAATTCAATTATTCGAAATCCTTTCACCGCCAAGAGGGCACCACACAAAAATTTGGCCATATAATTCAAGAAAGATATAGAAGCCTTTGCCAATTTTTTCAATGTCCCTTTTTTGTTCGATAAGTTTTGTGGGAAAAGAATACCTGTTTGCACAAAAAGCCAGAAGCCGAAAGCAAGCCTCATCTCAAACAAAACAATATAGCCAAACTCTTTTATTAATTCCCCCACAACCTTTATTTTTTTGGCCTCATCCCAATTTCTTTTGCTTCTTTTCCACCTATAAATCCCATTCTTCATTCTGTAGCTATATTTCATTCACACAGTTAGCTAAACAGAAGGGAAAAAAAATGTGCTATCCATGTTCATACTGGCTAGAAGCTCACCACTCGACTGGTTCTTCTAGGATCAGACGAGAGGCTGCAACACAACCTGCAATGGCTATTAGTATTACAGATAAAAGCTCTGCTAAGAACGATGATGGAAGCAAAAAAGCATGCGTGTGTTCACCCACAAGCCATCCAGGCTCGTTTAGGTGTAGACAACATCATGAAGAGTATTATCAATGGGTTAGTCGGTTCGGGTCGAACCCGAGCCAATCTAGTAAGAAAATAAAAACATGTCTTTTGAAGTAAAAGAGCAAATGCAACTTTGTGTATCCCTAGTGGATTGTGTGGCCGTAAGTTGTTCTTGTATTTCATAAGTTTAAGATTCTAAGTGTTGCTGCACGGTTGTTCGGTTGAGAAAACAACTAATACAATGTTCCTTGTTCAAATTGACAATATAAGAATGAAATGTTTTGGTCTTGATAATACAAGTCACATGACAAAAGATAATAAAGAGAAGCAGAGACGTTTTAAAAGACGCTATGGAACAGAACCATGCCGAAAAGTTGTACACGTAAAATGTCTAATTTGTGTCCACAACCAAATGGAAGAAGAATAATCGAGTGAAACAATACGACTATACAAATATATCATATCAATGTAGTATATAATTACACAAAAAAGACGGATGGGAAATAAAATGGTTTCGCATTCTTCAACGATATGTGGACATGCGAATTGTACCTCTCCTATTTCACTTCAGAAACCTGTAAGTCATCACATTGCGGCAGCATTAAAAACAACAACTTAAAAATGTTATCACTGAACATAGTCAAGTTACAATGTCAATGCACCCTAAATTGATAATCAAATGATGAAACCTTGCACACTGATGTAATTAAAAATGTTATCACTGAACATAGTCTAGTTACAGTGTCGATTCACTCTAAATTGATAATCAAATGACGAAAACATGCACTCTGATTTCAGATAATTGTCTGTTTGTTTTAAGTGTACAGTTTTGCAGTTTCTACAAAATAAACAAACAATGAAGGTCATGTTTATCCTTCTTACCTTACATTAACATTCATCATTAAAGAATTAAAATGGTCAACTTTACCTATTTTCAAATTACTAGAAATCCAGGCTTACCTCTGGGTAGCAACTCTGATGGGAAATTGTTTGGTTCCTCGTGTTTACAATCACTTCACATGTCATCTTTGTCTGCAGACATCATGATGGCGGCAATATGAAGATAATTGGATTAGATATGAATGGCAACTATTCATTAAGAACTCATGATCCGAGACAAGTTGTGATTAAGAGGTTACACACCCAAGCACATATTATGTGGACAAATGCTGAAATTATATAAGATAAACAGCAACCCCAAATTTCCTTGGACTAAGGTTGTGTTTGGTAAGTATATAAGCTATCTTATAGCTTATTTGATTAGCTTATAAGTTTTTTGTATTCAAATAAGCTTGATTTGGTAGAACGAGCTTTTTTAAAAAGCTCGAGCTTATCTCATAAGCTTCCTTGGTTAGCTTTTCAAATAAGCCTTATGAAATTTTTATTTCAGCTAGTTTTACCAAACACTTTTATCATATAAACTAGCTTTTCAGCCATAAGTCATAAGCTATCAGCTATAAACTCGAAATTCACTTAAAAGCTATAAGCTAGCTTATCAGCTAGATTTACCAAACATAGCCTAACAACTAGAAACAAGCTGGATGGCGAAGTACCAAAAATACCACAATGATTTAAGAATTAATCTACTTTGACAGAATCATTCACCGATTGGCTTACTGAATTATGTGTGGGCAAGATTATGATGGATAAAAAGTGGATGCATGCCATTTGTTTATTCGACACTCATCCTGCAAACCATTCGGCTAACTTAGCATAACTCATGAATTTAATTTGTTGATTATTGAATTGTATAGTAAAAACTTCCCTCTATGTTGTCAACAAACGACAAGTAGAACCCTAGTTTCATGCTTACTATTAGTCATTTTCAAAAACAAAATTTACATCAGAAATTCCTGCATTTCACGTATTTAACTGTATAATTGATTAGTTTCTTTTCCTTTTCTCGTTCTAGTCCAGACTACGGAAGGAGAGAATAAACGAACTCAACAAGCAATATCTTGATATTGGTATCTGGATAACGAATGACCATATTGTGCAGTATTATAAGCTCGAACAGTTCCTAAATCTAACAGCTTTACCAAGCCCACATAATCTTGGTGAATTTCAGCCAACCCGTGCCATGTTGGGTTTTTAACCGTGGATCAACACCCATCCACATGTGTGTCTGTTCTCGGTTCATCACACGAATAAAAACCCGTGACTTTACATTGCAACTGAAAGCAAAATTATCTCTTTCAGTTGCAGCCAACCAAAGTTCACATTACTACAGCATACACATTGAATTCCAAATTTGATTCAGATACCAGAAATCACCATTCAACTGTATCAAAATGATACCCGTCTTTCCTTGAAGTTCACTCAGAACTCAAAACAACCAAAACAAGAAAACCAGAGCAAATGAGGTTCGTATTCAATCAAGGATCACCAGATGAGGAGTCAAAAATAGGCTTCAGTATCAATTGAATCATAATCACAAAGGAGCAAGCTTTTACCTTCAGTGGCAACTCAAAGAAGACGACCCCTAGCCGGCCACCAATCTCCGACACCGTATCAAACATCACCACCCCTTTCGCCAGGTCCTCGAGCAGCAGCACCACATCCCCCAGAATCTCCACCCGATCGAGCTGGAGCGTGGCGTTCACGTACGACGACCCGCGCGCCTCGATGCTCCCGCCGGCCGACGTCACGTGCCCCAGCTTCTTCCCCCTGTATCCGATCGCGACGAGCAGGGAGTCGTAGTTCAAGGAGTAGAAGTCCTTATTGAAAACCCTAATCGTGAGGTCCATGGTGACGTCTACGGAGATCTTGGGGCGGGTGTGGAAGTGGAGGCGGTCGAGGCGGAGGCGGACGACGGAGAGGTCAGGGTCGGAGGGCCAGAGGAGGTATGCGGCGGCGACGAGGAAGATGATGGATGCGGCGGAGCAGAATATGCAGCGCCGCCATGTCTTGCGGAGGAGGCGGTGGCGGTTGGGCGGGGGGTAGGGAGGCAGAACGACGACGTATTGGGTGGTTTGGGGATGAGTTTGAGGGGGTAGGTGGGGTTCCGAGAGGAGGGGCTGGTGAAACGTCGTCGTATCTGCATGTTTGGCGCTCGTCATTTTGTTTCGTACACGCGCGTGCGTATAAGGATTTCGAAACACAGCGTATTTATAGAAACACGCATATATAATGCCTTTTGGAATTGGAGAAGTTTTGGAGTTATATACCCGAAGAAATAAATTTTACTCAACTTCGGCTAGTTAATATTTGAATTTGTTTAGTTAATATTGTATCGGGCAAGTTTATCAACTCGGTTTAGTCAACAAATCAAGTTCAACTCAATTAAAGCTCAAACCCAAAATTGAATCTTAAGAATTGATAAAAACATGAGCTTGAATTCCAATATTTAAAACTTGATATCGCCTCATTAAGACCTTTAATGGATGGAAGGTGTGAAATTATGAATCACAAAATGAATTAACAATAATACAGTTTGACATTTGGCAATAATAGATGATGGAATTTTTCATATCTATTATTCATTGGTCAGACTAATTTTATTAGTTAGAGCATCTACAATGTTTTGGGTTCAATCCCAAAAAATTATATGCCACATAAGAAATAGACCCAGTCTAAAAAAATATATTCTCCAATGCAAATAAAAGTAGACTGGGTCCTACTGATGTGGCTGCCAGAAAAAAAGACTCGGTCTTCTCTTAAGTCTATTTTAGACCCAAGTAGAGATTTAGTCTCTTTGCACTGGAGTGAATTTTATTAATTTTACATAGTTTTATCCATATCATCTAAGACTTGGGTTTATTTTACATAGTTTTAGAGTGTGGTGTGAAGCCAATCATTGGTGTTGTGCCTTAAAAGACACCAATGCAAATAAATAAGTGGTGAAGAAAAAACAGGCTGCATGAGTTGACTTCGAATTTATTTGATGTTTTGGTCACAATTATTATTATTATTATGAAAAATCTTCAAGTGGTGTTGAGATTTAAGGTTACAAGAGCAAAGAAATTGTTGTTGTTGTTGTTTTTTCTTCTTCTAATTACAAATTTCATGTGAACTAAAACAAAGATCACAATCATCACTAACATTTCACACATTTTTATCAAGCAAACATAAAATCCATTTCAGTGTTGTCACACAATGACACAATGCATATAATCACATGGCTCAATGACCATGAACAAACACAAATGCAAATTGCTGCTCTATTGCATGAAGAGAGTACAAAACAGAAAAAAATAACATAAAAATAAAATCACAATCCGATTATGCTGGAATGATTTATTTAATTAAAAAAAAATAAGTGGACAGAAAAAAAAGTGTGGGCAAAAATCAAAAGCACGGATTCTCGGAATCCGTTTTTCTAATAAAATTTTATTAGAAATTTTACAATCAAATATAAAAAAAAAAAGAAAAAAAAAACACTCTTCTTCTCCCTCACTTACGCGATAACAGAGAGCGAGCAGAAAAAAAAATTCAGCGATTTTGAAGAGAGCTTCGGGAAAAAAAAGACGCGATCCAATCCCTATCCGACGCGAATCGACATCAACGACACGAGCCTCATTTCCGATTAATTCATTCGCACAAGGTATATTGGCTTATCTCAACTTTTTACATTGTTTAGAGTTGTTTGAAAATTAGGAATTGTTATAGTATGTTTGAATGTGGTAGTGTTTGAAGATTGAGAATTGTTAATTGTTTATCGATTATGTGTGTATGTTGAATTGGAGATTGGAATTTTGTTGTAAAATGTCAATTGTATATTGGTTGGTTGTTGTTGGGCTTAGGGTTTTCGAAATTAGGGTTAGAATTAAGGCTTTCAATTCATTCGAAATATAGATGAATTGTATGTTATTGTTGGATTATAGGTATCAGGGTTTTGGAGGAATATTTGATTGGAAATATTTATTTTGGTTTTTTCGTTGGAGTAAAAAAAATTGTTTTTCAATTTAGAATGGTAAAAGAATAATTGAATTTTTTGGGTGTTGGATTAGACATTATGTGTTGTTGTAATTTGGAAGAATTGAAAGTGTTTTTTCTTTGTAACAGGTATAAATGAGGTATTCTGGTCCATACCTTGTTAATTTGTACTGGCATTTTGCGAAGGAAAGGTTAACTGAATTTGTTTTATTTAAAGATCGTCCGGATGGTTCTTTTCTTATTCCGAAGAGGATATCATATCAACAATTGATAGAAATGATTAATACATGTGTCGTCTGTCTGTCACTATGTTTATCTATTTATGAAACCGTTTTGTAATTTCAGGTTTTTTGCCGCGCTTCAAAGAGCGAATCCCACCACAGTTGTACAGTGGGAATGGCAGGGTGGGAAATGGCGCATCAGTATCAAGACAGACAATTCAAATTTGTATCCTAGGCATTTGGTCCCGCAAGTCAGACCTTCCAACTATGCCCGCCGGTCATTAGCATCGATGGCACACATTTGCGCGGATCGTACAAGGAAAAATTGCTTGTGGCTATAGCACAGACAACGAATAAACGGCTATTGCCAATCGCCTATGCGATTGTTGATGAAGAAAGCAAGGATAGCTGGTCATTTTTCCTGACAAATGTACGGCAATATGTTGTGTTCGACCGACATATCTGTGTTCTATCCGACAGGGATAACGGCATACTCAGTGCCATTGACTCATTGGTTGGTTAGCAAGAACCCGCTGCATATCACCGGATTTGCTTTCGACACCTTCGAAGCAACGTGGTCACTAACTTTAAGAATAAGAAAGTGCGTGATTGGTGTTGGGATTTGGGTTCGCAGTTGTCGGAGCAAAAGTTTCGAGCGACAAAACAACGACTGTTGGAATTTAATCCCCAAGCACACAAGTACCTTTTCGATATTCCCTTGAACAAGTGACCCTGTATGGAAATGAAGGAAGACATAGATGGGGCACATTGACGACCAATATGTCGGAGAGCTACAACAACGTCTTGAAAGGCATTAGGTTCTTGCCGTGCAGAGCTTTGGTACATGCCACATTGGACAAAACTCTGAATTTGTTCGAACAGGAACAAAAAAAGGCCACGAGATGCATGAGTCTCATTGCTACTCAGCACTATATCTCCTATTTGGAATTGGAGAAGAGAGCCGCAACCCATACTGTGAAATGTGTGAACGCCGAAAGGTCCAGGTACAAGGTCAGAACCGGTCTACGAGCTAGTGGAAGAGGGCAAAACAGGTATATGATTTTTTTTCCATTGAAATTTTTGAATTTTTATATATATAAATGATTGTTTGTGTTAACAGCTATAAGGTTAACTACTCCCGGAAACGTTGTAGTTTTCTGAAGTGGCAGACACACAGGAAACCGTGCTCTCATGCAATAGCTGTAGCTCGTCAAATCGGGACTGATCCAAAGTCGTTGTACGATAATGCATTTTGGACGGAGACCTGGGTAGCTCAATTTACTAATTAGGGTTTTGCTCCAATTGGTACTGCGGATACATGGGCGCCGGTGGGATGGAATTTGATACCACATTGGGAGAGGATGATCTTGAAGCCTGGACCCGGTCGCAAGCAAACAAGACGCTATCGCATGCAAATGGATCGTCGGGCGTGCCGCAGGAATGATAGGGGACAGTGTTCAAGATGTAGTAATCCCGATCATGTTGTGGATGAGTGTCCGTCCTCACATCCTCGCAATGATAGGTCTAGACTTCATGATGAGTGGGAGAATTAGATTTGTTAGTGTTTATTCGGATTTGTTTGGAGAGTTCATTTGGATTTGGTTGGATTGTTTATTTTGTTTTGTTTGGATGGTTTATTTTATTTGAATTTGTTTGGATGATTTATTTGGAATTGTTTGAATGGTATTTACGGTAGATTAGTTGATTTGTTACTGTAATTTTGGTTTGGATGGTATTTTAGTTTAGATTATGTATTTCGATTTGTTTTGTTGTTTTGGAGTTAGAACAGGTTTTTTGGGGTGTTAGAATGGAAAAAACTTGTATTTTTTTTCACATCCCAGTAGAAAACGTATTACTAAAATACGTTTTACACTGGGACACGGGTCGTGTTACTCATCCACACGACTCGTGTTGAAATGCCGAATGAAAATTCTAATTTTTCATATCCCAGTTTAAAACGTATTTCCGAAATACGTTTTACAAATATTTAAATGTCAAACTTATTTCCATAATACGTTTTTTAAAAAATTAGTTTATATGTTATATATTATGGTATATAATATATGATAGATATTATATTATATAGTATATTGTTTGTAATATACAACATAACATAAACTATAGTATATAGTGTTATATGCTATAACATAATAGTATATAGTATATAGTGTTATATAGTATACAATTTATAACATAAGAATAAAATTTGCGCAAAAATAAACGCGATAGCCTAGCGGTCAAATGGTAAGGAGGTGTGTCCAGAGATAACGGACTCACCCACCTGGGTCGAGTCCCGAATCTGGTGTATTTGTATCATTTTTTTTAATATGTAATCCGTTTTACAATTAATTAAATGTAAAACGGATTCTCAAAATCTGTTGTACAAATAAATATAACAAAAAATATATAAAATTAATTTTTTCAATAAAATGTATTTGAAAAATACGGTTATTAACGTTTAATGTTTATTTAATTAAGTTAATCACGTAATTAGAAAATACGTATTTAGAAAATCCGTTTTATAAGTAAAAATGGATTTCAGAAATCCGTTTTACTTTGTAAAACAAATTTTCAAAATACGTTCTTTTTATTTTGGTTCACACTTTTTTTTTTGTCCACTTATTTTTTTTTTAAATAAATAAATAATTCGATTATGCTGGCTACACTATACACGTAACACACACAAGACTTCCAAATGAATAAACTCATCCAATCCCTACAAGTATCTAAAAAAAAAAAGAAGCACAACCAAGGACCAATTATTGCAAAATACATATATTCAGAATTTTTTTCTTGAAAAAAAATCTTCAAGCCTCGTTTCTAGCACGCGAATGCGTGATCGACCTCAAATAACCGTACATGTCCGAACAAGCGAGTGCAAAATCAGACAAGGCCCGGAAAAGCTCAGGCAAGTGGCTCTTCAAACTCATCAGCGATTTTTCCCTAACCTGAACACAAAGCTTCTGGTAAGCTTCCTCATCCTCCTCCACCTTCTGCTTGGCAGCCTCCACTACCATCCGCTTCTCTGCAATGAGATCCTCATCCCTTACCCCATCAGGGCCCGCCTCATCCATGCCGGCCCGTTTCTGCATGTACTTGTTAGCCCAATTCTCAAAATCCCTCGTTTTCTTGCCCAACTCTTTTCTCGACTCGGCACATTTGGCCCTCAGCTCGAGCTCCTCCTTCTGGTACTGCCATATTGTATTCACTATAGCTGCAAAATTGTTCACGCTGGCCCGAGCAGGCTCGTCCGGAAGCTTTTCGAGGTAGTCGTGCCACCCGTGAAGTAGGGCCTGGATAGGTGGGGTGTGGGCCCGGGCAGGGGAAGAGACTTTTTCTTTCCAGTTGGTGTCGATGGGGATGAGATTGAGCTTGAGCCAGGTGTTGAGGGCCTTGATGTATTCTTTCTGCTGAGACATGAGCTCGGTGAAGTTGGAGTGCCATTCTTGGACCACACCACACAGCTGGCGAGTGCGCTCGTGGTGGTGGTCGGTTGTTTCTTTTGGTGATTGGGAAATGTCGAGGTGCCTGAGGGCTTGGACGATCTTGGATTTGTTCTCGTGCTGTGTTTGGATGGTCTCCCACATTGTAGCCATTCTGCGCCGGTCGAGCATCACAGGAGTGGAAATATTCAAAGTAAATAAATACATATATGAAAAGTAAAAAACATAAAAGTTGTCATTTAAAATGAGAAATTCGCCCCGAAAAAAAATATATGTCACATTTTGTCTCGGTGATTGTGAAAATACCACATTTGTGTTTCACGACAAAAATTACGAAAGAAGGTGTCATTTTTGCAAGGAGAAAGTGAAGGAGAATGAAAAGACACAGAGGACATATTTTCCACAAATAAGTGCAGAAGAACTCACCCATCAACGAGAGCAACGAGTTTTGGAAAGAGCTGTTCATCACGTAGACGATTGATCTCGGACACAGTGGAGTCCATGGACTGCATGTCCACAATATATCTCGTGTGCAGATGGCTCACAGCTGCTTTCATTTTTTCTAATGCTTCTGTGTTTGAATTCCTTTTCTTCAACCTATTCAATGAGGCTACCTTTTTCTGGTATTCGTGTTTCATCTGCTCGCCAGCCTATTGAGCATAGTAAAACCAAAAAACAACTTAAACTCAACAAAAAGACCTAGTATAAGTTTTAAAAAAATCTTGTCTATCTGCAAGAGCTTGTAACGCGTAATCAATCAATAATTCAATATTAGTCTATTGCTTTTGTACTTCAGGCTTCAGCAATTTATAGTTGACCAATATCGGTACTCTTTAAAGACACATTTGCAGATATCAACGAAGAAGATCCTGAGAATGTATCTTCTAATGCATCATTCTATGGTTTTCTCAGTGTCTAGCTTAACTTTCTACAAGAGTTTGATTTGTATTGTCTGTTAAACCTCTTTGTGTTTTTAAACCTCTCTGTGTTTTTCTGAATCCAATAAATGGTGAATCATAATTTATTTAGGGCACATTTCCTTTTTCCTCTTTACCGCTTATTGGTTCATGATTTCTGCTGTAAATATGTTAAAGTGCAACTGGTGCAAGTTGACTTTAAACGTAGATCGCATTTATTGAAAAGGAAAATTTAGAACCAATACCTTTGAAATTTATATTAAAGAGGAGACAAAAAGTTTGCGGATCATCACAATTTATCATCTGATATATAACCTATGAACATCAATTTCGAAATATGATTATCTCAGCATCTTAATGTCTAGCAATTGAGGGAACAACTAAGCCCAAACTTCACAAAAATGGCAATCAACTGAAAATCATTTTCATTTGACCAGAAGAAGCTAACACAATGAAGGTCAAAAGGCATTGTTATCTCCAGAGACAATAAACAAGAGCTGATAACAACTAGCAAGACCTTTATAGCAGCTGGGCGCCTATAGACACTAATCAAACATAGACTGTCTAGAGACTAATCGGAAGAATCTCCTTCAAGAATCAAGAACATACATACAATTGAAGTTTATATAAGGAACAAAAAAAAAAAAAAAAANNAAAAAAAAAAAAAAAAAACATAACTTTGGCCACTGCTAAGGAACTTGTTACTTTATTAATAATCTCCAACAAGAAGAAATGGGACAACAGAATAGTACCTTAACTTCATCATAAAGCTTTTTCTCCCACGCCAGCATCTTGTCCAACACGGTGGCATGAGTTTCATGCTCCTCCGAATCAAAGTCGTCCAACCCATCATCGTTATTTGACAAACCCCTGAATGACCTATTCCAAGTGATGACACGCATTACCCTTTCTGAATGATTAATATTCCCTGCCAAACAAACAAAACATATAGCTCAAATAAATGTAATAACCACTCGTTTAAACAAGAAAAATGAAGAAAGATAGAAAATGAAAGAAAAGACAACCGTTCTTTATCATTATGAAATGAATTTAAACCTCTCTTATCTGCAAAATTCGAGTGATAATGCAAGCGAGTAGCCTCTAGCATCCTTGAGACATCGTGAGCACTCTGTGAAGACTTAAGAAAACAATCATCAAGATCCACAAATATTTGCATCAAATTCACATTACTTCCCCCACCCTTCTTTTTGCCCTCAGCCGGAGGGCCAGGTTTCACTCTTTTCACGGCCTTAGCCGCCGCCATTGCTGCTTCCGGTGGCGGCGGCTGAGGAGGAAGTTCTCTTGCTGCCTCCACCACCTCTTCCTCCACTTTCTCACTCTTTCCGTTCATTTCCCCTTTCTTAGATCTTTCTTGAAACACCTTCCTCTCAATCTCCTCCCTCTCCAGATTGCTCTCATCCACCTCCGCCAGTGTGGGCCCCGGTACGTTTTCCATAGAGAAGAAATAATCCCAGGACGAATTTTCCGGTGGGGGAGGCGGCCGATGTTGTTGCTGTGGCTCCGGATCACGTGAATTGCTCTTTCTCCGTGGCAGGTGATGCAGAACTTCATCCTCCACGACCTCCGGTGCCGGAACCCCTCCTCGGCCACCACCCTTGCTACTGGTGCTACGTCTTTTCAGGCTATGGCTGCTCTCGGCCTCGATCTCCTCCTCGCTCTCCTCCTCCTCGATGATCGGATCTGAGTGTTTGGCCTCCGGTCGGGGGATCCCAAACTCCGGCATGGTGGCGGCACGCTGCAGGGGGGAGGAATTGGTGAAGGAGGCAGGGAGGGGAGGAGGAGGGGGCGGGAAGTTGTCGTACGGGGGTAGGGGCGGAGGGGGGTTGGCGGCCACGGTGGCGGCGGCGGCGGATGAGGAGGACGCAACGGAGGCCGAGGCGGCGGCGGCGGCGGCGGGGTACGCGACCTCCCCCTGCGCGAAGTCGCTGAGGGCGGCGCCGGTGTTCTTAAGGGACATGGCGTGGGCAGAGTGGGCCGCCGCGAATTTGTTCCGGGCCGTGACGGCCCGCTCCATGTGCTGCCGGCGCTCCTTGCACCGGTTCACGGTCTCCTCGTTTTCGATCTTCGACTGCGTGCAGCCCATCGGAAAATCACACGGAAAAACACGGTCTCTGAAAGGCAGCTCAGTGCCCCCTTTTCTTCAGAATTTAGATCACCTAAAAAGGGAGTACGGCGGTTTGAAGCAAATCCCTATGATGGCTATTGAAGGTCGAAACGACATCGTTTTATTTGTCTTCCCTTTTACCAGAACTGTAAAAGGAAAGTGGAAAATATGGTAAATAATTTTGCAGTTAAAAGTAAGATTCGCGACAGCTTGAAATGATTAATCAGCCATAGTAACACATAGCTTAACCTTTTTCAGGTCGTAACTCGTGGTGCTGATTTATAATAACTAATAAGCCTGGTTTTCCGGCGCGGTGGTGCGGCTGGTTGTCGAGGAACGACTCCGCCGTGGTCCAGCTCGGGATTTTAAAGTTTAATCTTTTTCGGAACATAAATCAAATTACGGAAGGTATTATTTTTCCCTTTATTATCGAGCGGAATTACGAGATCTATTTTAGGTAGATTTGTTTTGACGAAAGTTTTTCCATTCTTGAATTATAAATTTGTATAATTTGGCAAATGTTTTTGGAAATCTTAATCTGTATATAAAAATGAAAACTGAATAGTATTTATTNGTTCATCCGATATATCGACGCCGAGCCCCGGCCATCATCCGGCCCACCCAAGAAGACCGACCAACGGTCAGGGGAATGGGTCCATAAGGGTCAAGCTTAACAGGCCAGCTTTCTACCACCAGAGGGTGGGATTAGTCCCTCCTAAGGAGAGTGCAATGTCCCACTCATACTCTCCACGATAGTCAGGATCGAACTCCTGACCTCTGGCATCAACAAGACTTTACCTCTACACCATTAGTCAATTGCCCTCATGCCTTGGAGGCCAAATATTACTTACTTACTTAAAATGTAATTTTTTAATATTAACTAGTATTCGATCTGTGAATTTACACAGATGTAAATAAAATATTATAAGTTATTTGTATGCATATAATATTAAAATTATAAATTAGATAATGGTATTATATTTTAAACATAGAGTATTATAAGTATATTTATGCATATAATATTACAAATATAAGTTATTATGTTTTAAAATTTAATCATTGGTTAAAATAAATAGTACATAATGTTTGATAGAATATGAATCACTATATTGACTATTATGTAACTCGTGCGATGCACGGGCTGTATTTATTTCAAAAACATATTAGAAATTGGTATTTATTACTCAATAAATTATGATGTGTAAGACATTTGTAAAGTAATCATAAATTTTTCGTTGGTAATAAGACATACATTATTAAAAGTCTCATTGTACACAACATTATTAATTTGATTACTGAGTAACTCATCGTCCCCACAAACTAATATTTTCAATCACTTCCTATTTTTTTTTTTTATCGTTAAATGTAAATATATGTATATATATATATCAAAACTGAGTTCAGACATCCGATAAACGGCATACAAAAGCGTAATGAACAACCACATGTCGGTTCCTCATTCGCAATATAAAGAACTACGAGGCCAACCACAAGTCGGTTGGTCACTCAGAGTCTCGACGGAAGTGAACAAAACAGTCCCAGGGGTTCGGGAGCTCGTCATGTTCTTCGCTTCGGTCATGTATAGCGATTGGCACGGCCTAAGCACATTATCACGCTCTTGAATCAGGGGGTAGCGCCGCTAGCCAGGGCTAGCGGCGCTAGGTTGGACGTGGCACAAGACCTTGAGCCCTATAGCGCGCGCGAAAAGTCGTGGCTAGCGCCGCTAGCCTTAGCTAGCGGTGCTAAGGGTGACATGGTGCAGCGACGCTAGCCAACATTAGCGGCGCTAGGCTTAAATGGGCATTAGGGTCTGAGGCCCGCTAGGTACCGTAGCGGCGCTAGGTCATCAACGTTAGCGGCGCTAACATATACTACCGGCGCTAGTACTTAGGGGCCATGTTTTCTCGGCCAATTTAATCTCGGTTAGCGGCGCTAAGGCCATGTTAGCGCCGCTAAGGCTCGGCTAGCGGTGCTAGTACCCCTTAGCGCCGTTAGTACCTGGAACGCCAAGAAAAATTGCATCTTTTCACCTAGTAACTCATCTTCCCGGGTGTCTCAAAATCCAAACCAAGGCAAACTTATAGTCCGAGGCTCCGCCTCTCAAACTCAGCAAGCACATTAGGATAAAGAGCAAATATAGTGCAATATACATGTGTTTTTACCTTTCGGATTACAAGGTTCGTACCTTGGTATTCATTTTCTAACACCAGTCGATTCCTCGCATTCCAAATAAAGTATACGGTAGCCGCGAGTGCCGCTTTCTTCAGCTTGGTTTGCCAACCACTTCCTTTCGCCTCCTTCTTGGTCCATTTGAGGGCACCTTTTAGTATAGACGGTCTATGTCGGAGGCCGATCCAATTACGAATCTCATTCCAAATCTCCGAGCCAAAGGAACACTCAAAAAATAGGTGACTTGAAGATTCATTCTCAAGACCACAAAGAGGGCATGTCGGATCTTCGTCGAGGAAATCGAGTTGATCTCTTGTCTTGAGCTGATTGTGCACCCCTAACCAAAGGATGAAGTAATGCTTAGGGGTATTACACGGACCCCAAACAACCCCATTCCAAGGCACCATGGGTCGTTTATGTCTTAGGAAGTCATAGCACTTGCTAGTCCCTTCTTGGCCTTCATGAGCTTTCCATCTTTGAAGAAGGGCTTCCGCTCCCGGACACTCCCTGTCTTTTCCACCAATCTTTGTCGGATGTCAAAGAGGGTTTTGAAGAGAGGTGAGTCCTTTAGTCTAATATCCCAATCCCAGATGGATTTCTTCTCTAAATAGTTAGAGTGGATCCATTTGTGCCACAAAGTGTCCTTCTTTGCTTGCATGTTCCAAAGTGTCCGGGTGAGCAACGCTTGGTTCCATGCATTTAGGTCCCTTAGCCCTAAACCACCTTCTAACCGTGGCACGCATACACTTTCCCAAGACACGGGAGCACTCTTCGAACCCCAAAGGAACTTTCGACATAGTTGGGTGATTTTTGTTCGAACTATGCCGGGCAAGTAGAAGATCCCCATCAAAAAACACACTATGCCTTGTATTACTGAGTGAAGGAGTTCCAATCTCTCGGCATAGGAAAGTGTGTGCCCATTCCACCTACTAAGTTGCTCCTCTATTTGCTTAATCATATCTTCAAAGAGCCTTCCGGTGATTCGTTCCGCAGACAGGGGAATACCTAGGTAACGAAAAGGCATTGGCCCATGTCTCAAGTTGGTGTTGTCAAGGATTGAATCACGAATATCAGCCTTGAACCCAGCCAGATAAATATTGGACTTCAGCACATTCATTCCAAGTCCCGATTTAGCTTCAAAGTCTTTAAAACAGTCCATGAGAATTTGGATTTGTTGGGTTCGATATTACAGTACGGGCTGTACGCAGCGGAATTTAAAATTTTTAAAGTAAGTATTTATCGTATAAATACAACACCCGTACATACTAATTGCGAATTAACTGATCGTCATCTTTAAAACATGCATCATATACAAATTTTGATTTGTTACTATAAAGTAAATACTAGTAAAAATATTTACCGAATTTCTTGAACTCCTTCACTATTGATGATGGATGAGGGAATCGGTTCCCGGTTGTAACTTCAACGACTTGAGGTTACTCGCTAGAGGAATCCAAGTGTCTTCCCTCTAAACGTATCCACCCTATGAAGCCCGGTTCCGACGACTTTCCTTCGCTAGTAGAAAAGACTCGGTTTTCTTGTATAGGAATATTTATGAATTTTATTTGGGAATTTTAAGAACTCTTTCTTGAAGTTTTATGAAGAACACTTTCTTCTCTTTCTAACACTTAGAAATTTAGGATCAAAAACTTCACTTAAATGCAAAACCATTTTGCATATATTTATACTAAACATTTTAGCATAAAATAATCAACATTTAGTAATATTAAATAAAATCAAATTTTATTTAAATAGTATTTACTAACTTTTGACTTTGAAAATAATAAGATATGTTAAGTAGTTCAAACAACCATCAACAACCATTTTATTATAATCATATTTATTATTTTAATCCTTAAATCATATTTAAAGATATAAATAATAATTGGATAATAAATCTTGAGAATCTTTCTCAAGACTTTATTATTATATCATTTTCCCAATATTATAATAATCATATTATTATTATTTTGGATTTTTGAAATTTAAAATCCTATTTTAAAATTCAACTTTATTAATTTAGTAATTACCTTAATTACTAAAGTAATATCCAAAATGTAATTAATCAATCTTATTGATTAATATATTCCTTTAATTGATATCTAATCAAATTAGATATTTATCAATTAATTCTAACCATTAGAAATACAATCTTTACCTTTGTTCATAATTAGTGTGACCTTTTAGGTTCACCTTAATACTAGTAGTGGGTTTACAACACTTTGTAATTTGAGTTAAATCTTATTAACTCTTATTCATGAATTAACCCTTTAATTTATGAACCCACATATCATGGTAACACCTAGCAAGTAGCATGAATCTAGTATTAAGTGAATAGCGAGTAAACCTATTCCGATTACAACTCCATACATGTAAAATCCTTTCGACATCTAATTTCCCGATTAAGTCTTGGGTATGATTTTGTCGAAACCCAAATTGACTTAATAACTATGATTCTATTTCATGTTTATTAACCCGGTTATGAATCACTATTCATCTCTGCCTTGGCCAAGGACTTTGGATTAATAACTATGAAACACATAGGAAATTCACTTATCTTCATAAGTGTCGAATCCTTTATTGGCCACTAACAAACTTCCATACATATTAACATAATACCCAACTTATCCCTTTAAACGATAGTGCTAGCTACCAAAAGGATAAATCAAAGTAGAATGTAATATGCACAAAGTTACCATTGTGCCTCAAGTCTTAGGATTAGTCATGTACTATTGTAACATGAAAATTCTTATTCGACTGAATAAATTCTTCATTAAGAATTTTCATACGGTCATGTTCAGTGAACTTGTTCTCTAACAAGCACCCACATAAATGTACTTACGTCTTACGCTAATGTTGATGGAATGCAACATTCTTGTCCAACAAGCATACAAACTATGTGCAAGTCTTTTATGGATTATTCGATATCCCATCTCGAAACATCCATCGACTTGGAACTGTATTTAAGATCACGGCTTTCAAGGTATGTTCCATGATCACCATCTCTATGCGCAACCATACCTTATAACCATAAGTGATCTAGGGATTTTATCTTAAGTGCAATTATAAGATAAATGCTTTCTCTTAAGATAAAGAAATGCCTTATTCATAATATAATTCCAATAAACTGTATTTACAAGTAGAATACGTCCAATTAGATTGGAACGCCGGGTACCCTACTCTAACAGGATTGACGTAGGGTCTCCACGAGGTAGAAGCATGAGGTCATCGGCGAAGGCAAGGTGGGAGATTTTTAAATCTTCACACATCGGATGGTAGTTGAAGTTCGTGCCAGACGCCGTGTTGCTCTTTAAAAGCCTAATGAGGTACTTCATACAGATCACGAAAAGGAAAGGTGACAAGGGGTCACCTTGCCTTAAACCACGCCTTCCTTTAAAGTGGCCTTTGAGGCACCCGTTAATTGATAGCGAATATGACGTAGTAGTAACGCACTCCATGACCCACCTAGTAAAGTCCTGAGGGAAGCCAAGGCCATCGAGCAATTGCTTCAAGAATGACTAAGAAATTGAGTCGAACGCTTTTCGGAGGTCGATTTTGATAATACACCTCGGGAAAACCCATTTTCTCAAGTAGAGACGAAGCAATTGTTGCATGAGGTGTTGTCTGTAATGCTCCACCCTTTCACAAAAGCAGCTTGGGCCTCGTCAATGATAGTGCCTAGGACTCCTCTAAGTCGATTAGCTAGGATTTTGGAGCATATCTTATAAATCGTGTTGCAACACGCAATAGGCCGGAAGTCTGTGACTTGCGAGGAGTGCGAGGATTTCGGGACAAGTGTGAGGGTTGTGTGGTTCTATTGCTTGAGGAGCAAGCCGGAATGAAAGAACTCCTAGATAGCCGCCACTACATCGGCCCCAACAATGGACCAACTCTTCAAAAAGAAAGTAGAGGTATAGCCATCCGGTCCCGGGGACTTGCCACCATCAATGTCTCTAAGTGTGTTCTTGATCTCATCCTTGCTGACTGGTCCAGTAAGGGCCCTACAGTCATCTACTCCAACGCATGGTCCCGATCGAAGTATTTGTAGATCAACCTCCTCCGTTTCAATTTTCGTCCCCAATAGAGATTCATAGTATTGAATAAACTCCTTTGCGACTTCCTCCGTGGATTCAGTGACGGTGCCATTAGCCCGATTGATCGAGGCGATGAAGTTTCTTTTTGAACGTTTTTTTACCAAGCCATGGTAGAACTTGGTGCACTTGTCTCCTTTGATTTGGAAGTTGCATTTGGTCTTTTGTTGATAGAAGAGTTTCTCCGCTTTGGCCAATGTAAGAGCTTCAATTCTGAGCGATGTCATCTTAGACTTGGTTTTTGAGTCGTCGGGATGATCATGAAGTACTTGTTGAGCGGTCTTGAGGGCATTTTTCGCTTCTTTGGCCCTAGAGGAGATGTGCGAGAAGGCCTCTTCATTAAGAGCCTTAAGGGCGCTCTTAAGATTCTTCAAATTTGAGGCAAGGCGGAATTGCCTCGAGCCCTCTCCTCCTTGATTCCAAGTCTCTTGGACACTCGGCAAAAACTTCTCATGGGACGTCCACTTCCTATTAGTTTCAAATGAAACAACAACATATAATTGACTATGACTAAAAAATGATTTCTTCAAGAACAACTACATGCGATAAAGACTAACCCTAACAACATGTGTGTTTGTATTTTCGTGTAAGCTGCTTTTATCGTATGAGTTTGAATGGATATTTATAAGTCTCACATTCGTGTCAAAGCAAAAATATGGTATAAAATTAAAGTGATAATATAGGTTTATGTGGTAAAATCACAGATTTTATTTATTCAGATGATACCAAAATGAAAAAGATTTTCACCACAAAAATTATGATATCGTAAAAATAAAAATAAAAATAAAGATCGTTAAAAATCTCCGATTTAGTTTATATGATTTGTAGTTGAATAGAAACGAATATTATGGCAATATTAAACAAATTATTACTATGATTAGTGGATTGTATGTTAATCTCTACTATTCTCTAAGTCTCATCTAATCACCATATTGATTCCAATAAAACTAGTACGACACCCGTGTACTACACGGGTTGTTTGAAAAAAAAAATATAAAACATTAAATAATAGAAAAAACACATGTTGTCATATAAAAGTGCAAAAATAGAAAATATCAAAGTCGATATTATTTCAAATTTTAAAAAATTTCTTTGTACACTACATTAATAATTTTATTTATAATTTTTCCATCCTTATCGCAACACAGAATTTTCAAGCCTCTCCTACTTTTAACTCTAGATAATGCAACATAAAGTTAATCATGACCAAATACAGGATTAATCTTTTAATCTAATAATTAATTTATATTTATGTAAGTTACATATATTATATATAATACAAAATTTAAAAGTAAGTCCCATAAAATATACTCACCCGAAAATATAGTTTCAATGCCTGCAGGACATAGTCCACGCTTTTCTTTCATTTTCGCCATTCTAATGTGTCTAATAAGTTTTGTATTTTTTTATTCATTATTTGAATACCTACAAGATGCAAGAACAAGGTGGATTTAAAGTCAATAAATATAATAATTTATTATAAATGTTTAAACAGCCCGTTACTGACAAGATTGTGTATGATCCCACTTTTAAAGAGAGGCCGTACGGCTTAACCCCGAAACCACTTTTTTCAATACATATTTAACATAATAGCTCGAGCCCTTTATTAATAATAATAAAAAAAAAAAAAAAATAAAAAAAAAAAGATGTTTCTAATGAGGTATTACAAATATAACATTTTCCATTTTTTGAGGTGGTGCCATGTCAATTCTTCGATCACAAGAGGCTTTCCGGCCTCCCATGACACGGCAGCTACGAATACACACAAAATATTTAAATTGTTTTGGCCAATTATAAATTGGATCGATTGATCCCACCATTCTTCTAATTAAACTCAATACAAACAAAGCATATCTTTACCTAATCAATAACATTACAATATATATATATAATTCATATCTATTAATCTCTTTTCTTTTTTTTAAACATAATTATAACGATGATCCCAAGAAATTATATAAAAGAAATACAGATCAAACACAAGATTGAATTGGAAAACATATCACCGCAAATATCATTTTGCTTTATTAATTTTGAATAACAAAACCCAAACTCAGAAAGAAAAAAAAAAATAAAAAAAAAAAAATTCTATCCATATAAGAAAACACGGTAGATTAAGCAAAACCAATCCTATTCATATTGGGAAATCAATCCTATTCATATAAGAATATACGGCAAAGAATATAATATAATAATTGTAATAATTTTAATTTTTATCCGAACCAAAAACCGAAGCACGTAATGTTGCCAAGTAAGTTTCCGAAGCGTGCGAGCCAACATTTAGGCTCAGTACGTTTTGAAATTATATTAAGGGAGGGATTATATATATTATTCGATATTATTTGATATAATTTAATTTAGTTTGATAAATAAATTTAAATTTTATCTATAAGGATATATATTACTATTAGTAATATATTACTAATAGGCCTAATTCATAGATAAAAGTATTTCATATATATATAAATAAATAGTAAAATACAAATGGACTTCATAATATCAATTTAAATGCAACACACTAATTAAGATTTTTTTCTTTGACAATATTAACCTTATTTAATGGATGTTATGGGAAACGATGGAGATGAGATACGAAGAGACACTGTGTATTAGATGGAGGGTTAAAAATGGAAAAATATGAACAAAATATCTAAAACGACATTTATTTTATCAATGATCAATTAAGCCAAAGAGACAAATAATAAAAATAGGAGGGAGTATATATTATTATATATTTTAGTATGACACATGTTACCTGTACGACTTATATGTGTTATATTATAATAAATTTTCTACCTTATAACATATAACTACATTAAACATAAATATATTAATTGATAAATAATTTTATTTTTTAATTTATTTTAATGAATAATTTTATTATTATTATAAAGACAAATATAATTTATTTATTTTATATATACAATATGAATGTCGAATCGAAACTCATCAAAAGATGATTAATTTGATATATTATATATGTAAAACCGATAAGAATTACAAAAGTTATCAACTTTTAAAATATTTTTGCAATTCAATGGTTATAATAGGAAATGATATTAAAATACATTAATACAAATATTAATTTATATCAAAGCCTAACTTCAAAGCATGATTTTTTACCAAATAAGATTTCGAAGCATGTGAATTTGCTACGTAGGCTCATCGCATTCTGAAATTATATATAGAGTAGATAGATAAATATTTTAATTGTAAGTTATATACCTCAATCTTAATTTTATTGTCTATCATCATAATATTTGTCACAAAAGTATATAAAAATTATTTTTTATTTTGAAAATTATAATAAAACCCGATTAACCCGTCCGGTCATTCCAGTTTGAGAAAACCAGTAATACTAATAAAACAATAACTGTGTTCAAAAAACAATTTTATTAAGCGAAATAGTCTTAACCTTCCAAAGCCCAACAGCTAAATTTAATTATTAAATCAATTTTCATGGGGAATCTATGTCCTTTGACATTAATTTGCAGAGAAGATCCAGTGCCAAAAAATTTAAATGTTGATTATTGTTATTGTCACATTCAGCTTTTTTGTCACACAAAATTGATGAAAGAATAGGTCTACTTATTTCAATTTCAAACGAAACTAACTCAACTCACCTACCAAAGCCTAATAAAGTAATACTCTCACATATCCTTAGTCATCAAATTTTAAGTTCACATATAATGTCAGTCTAGCATCACCATCACCAACATAAAAGAATGCAAATATTCATAAAGAATATGAATAAAATGTTTTTACAATAAAACCTGTAGAAACTATATAACCAGCCATAGAGAGTTCACCTTTACTTTACTACATAATATCAACTATGAATTTGAATTTCCCTTCACACAAGCACCAATCAATTTCCTCTGTTCTTTCTCAGTTCAGCAAGCCTAGCCACAAAGTCATCATAGTCCGGCAGCTTGGGATGCACGTGTGCATTATTGTTGTTATCCAACGAGAAAGTCCGGCTGTGTTTCTTAGAATCTTCCGGAGGGTGGTGGTCCAGCAGAGCAGCGGGAAGCGACCCCACCCTGTTTGCCCTGTGCGGTTTTGCAGATTTGCCCTTCTCATCTGCTGCTACTGAGGACTGCCCGTTTTTCTTGCTATAGTGCCTCAAAAGCCTGTCCATCATTTTCTCTTCTTCATCCTTGTGCTTTTTCCGGCCATCATCGTCCAAAAACCTCAAGATTCTCTGCCCTTGCTCGGCTTTCTCTCTGTTTAATCGTTGGATATTATCCTCTTCCTTCATTTCGGGCTTCATAAAACGCCTCCGAACTGATTTTGGAACGGGCCTGATTTCTTTGGGTTCGGGTTCGGGCTTGGTGTAAGGTGGAGCAGGGATTGATTTTTTTTGCTCGAGGAGCTTTTCATCAGTTTCGTGCGCTTGAACCTTCTTCTTCACAAGCTCCTCATCTTTGGGTTTTTCGGTTCTGGTAATGGTGTCAACTAGAATGTCCTTGACTGGAGGGACTTGATCGTGCCTTTTCCGAAGCTCAGGGGATTTATTTTTCTTTGGCAGTCTGTCTTCATTTCTCAAAACTTTATCATTGGAGTCCTTGACAAAGTTCTGCAAAAAGAGTGTTATTTGCTCAATAATTACTAACCTAGGCTAACAAGTATTTCACAGACATTAAAACTCGAAATACTATAGTTTACTATACCTTGTTGTATGCAGATTCATTAAAGAGCTTATTTTCCAGGGCTTTCGAGTCCCAGTCCAAACCAGACTCAGCAGCTATTTCTTGCAACAGCTGAAGTTTTGATTCTTTTGAGGGCAGCCAAGACCTCATCTTCTCAGAAAACTATATAAAAATATACATAAGAATCTCAGTGCACTGAGATTGAATTGAACGGTGAAGGAAAAAATACATACAGACGGTGAGTAATTAATTACCTCTTTATTGATAAAACAATCAAGGGAATTCCCATATCTCTCTGAAAATAGAGTTCTAAGCTCGCGCAGTTCGGGCATGTCAGCAAATCGTGCAGCTGCAAACATCAGAGACGACACTGCTTCTCTGCATTCTTCAGGGCATTCCCTGATCATACCAAATATTCAATTTCAAGTGAATCTATTTTTCGAATAGGGGGAAGAAAAAAAAAAAAGCCAACATCATGTTTGAACGAACATGGCCTAAATACAAGCCGGCAAAATTGTATTTCGGCTGATCAACTTCATGTTTGAACTAACACGACCTAAATACAAAGCAAACCTACCATGTGACCAATAATCAGTGTTCTTGTTTATGGGGTCAACTAGAAAATGTGTTTCATGCCAACATATGTGCTTAAAAGGGGTATTTTATTGCAGAAAAAAAAAAAAGCATTAGTACGAGAACATATGTAATTAAAGAATAAAGACACCATATTCTACTAGCTGAAATGAATTGGCTATTAAGGCTTACATACTTCTGTTTGTCCATAGCCGAAACATTCTTTGATATATGTTCACAACATTGGTCGACAAACTCATAACAGCTCGTCAAATTCATCTCAACCAGAAGTCCTTCAGCCTGTTTGAACATTGGAAACAATAACTCTTTAAATAAATCAATTAGGCCTTTGGAATCTAAGAAATAATGAATTATGTTGAGGTCTGTGTAAGAGGAACAAAAGAAAGAGGTAGCAACTAAAACTACTCTTGAAGTTTAGCTAAACTAAATTTTTTCATTTTCCCATTTAGAGAACTGTGAGCTTTTTGGGTAATAGCTGAAATTCTGAGAATAGACTAAAACAGCACATTCATAACTTAAGTCTCAAGGGTTCAAAGTGGAAAATTCAATAGTTCAGGGGTAAAACGCCATTAAAAATTATATTGAGGGATTCAGTGTATAATTCCATAAAATCAACCTAGAAAAGTACCAGACAAAACAAAAAGGTTTGATCAATGGACACATTACCAAAATAGAGAAGCTACAGTACCTATATTTTCAAGCAAGAGAAATTTTATCAGCCACACAAATATATAAAAACATCATATTCAAATTCCTAATACGTGTTATATCTGCCAATTTTTTCCCTAAAAAACTGAGATAACAACATGGCAACACTCCCTGATGAAATGTATGTATCTAACCAGAACCCAGAAATCAAAGGAGCCAAAAAAGAAAAGAAAACAATATAGGAATATATATATTGAATATACATAACCATACTCGATAAACAGAACCCACAAAATAACATAGGAAATCAGAAAATCAGATTATAGAAACAATGAGATTTTACAACCAAGAAATATATATACAAAAAAAAAANACACAACATTAACCCAAGAAAATGTAAAAGCAGCACGAATAGGTACAAAAGAAGATTAAAAACTTTCGAATGGTCAAATTCACCATCAAAACTTCAACTCACCATTTGCAATAGAACTTGCTTTTCAACATCCCATCAAACATTTTGGCTTCTGCTTTCTCTTAATTTTTCAATCTCTGCAAATACTGATCTGAACACAACGATACGCTCGCTCTATTTCAAGCGCATTAAAATAAATGATTCGCCACTCCAAGAATAACCCACATTCAGGAGAGCTGGAATGAAGAGAAAAGAAGCTGTTTACAGCCAAGAAACCCAAAAAAAGAAGGAATATTATAATCCCAAATTCCCAATGCACGAATAGATTCGTTTCGAAAAAATACTCCAAAAAATTTTATGTTGGGAAAGCAAAAATCTCAACAAAAAAAGAGGGGTTTTCGTTTTAATGCTCCAAAACTGGTATTCAAAACGCCATTAATGGGAACTTGCAGAAAAAATATGAACTGGTCGAATCAAATCGGTAATGCATATACATAGACATACAAACATACATTCATAATAATCACGCAGATTTATATATATCTTATAGAGAGAAAAAATAGTGTGGGAGAGAGAGAGTCTCGTGACCAGGTGGGGTGTGCTCTGCTGCGCCGGACTCTAGAAATATAACTGAAATCCCGTTAAATTACGTATTGGGCCTGGATGTTGGAGCTAAACAAGTATATAAGAATGGGCATATTGGGAAATTACAGGTCTGCGGGATTTCTGCTGATGTTGGGTCCATTCCCATGTTCCATTTTTTTAGGCATCCATTTCACGTAATATTAGTATTTTAATTAGATTTTAACTATTTATCCATTTTCAATTTGATACGGTTATATTATATATATTTTACGAATCTGTATTTCTATGATAATATATTGCATTTCCCAAATTATAAAATCGTACCAAATTAAAAATACAATTTTCTATTTTGAAAATGAAATCTTATTTATTTATTTTTTTTTTACAATTATCTTGAGTTTGACTATTACTTTGGATTGTGATAATGAACAAGATAATTATACATAATATTTCAGCTCATTTTATCCAAAACATTACCGTAATTTGATTCCAATCACAGCTGTAAAATCTTTTTAAATCGATTTGGTCTACCGTGTCAACAAATTAATAGTAATTTTTTGTTTGTAGTCTAACATGTATAGAAATATTTGAACCAATAATTAAGTGTAGATTTTGTACCGGTAGATCGGTTACATTGAGTAATGTTTTAAGATTTTATTAGTAAACAAAGCATGGACTATACACCTATGATTGCGGGCAACCAAAAATTACTTTGACGGTACATGATAAAACAGGAATCTAAATTTTATTTTTATTTTTATATAAATATATGATTAGATATATTCAATTGTTAAACCATAAATATCTTAAACATCCCTAATTAATATAACGAGCTGAAAAAAAATAATTAAATAATCAGGTTGAAAAAATTAAAATAGTATATCAGTTATGTAATTTTATGATTAATTGCAAGTATCTATTATGTAATAAAATAAATAAAAAATGCAATTCTTTGATTAGATATAGATATAGATACTAATCCGGTTTAACAATTATAAAAAATGATTATGATAAAGACGAAAGTGAAAATATATTAGACGTATTGGAGCCACTTGGCGATGCTCCGTAGCTTGTTGCCGAAGGAAAGAGATTAAAAGGGCCCAACTGAAACCTAACAGAAGGATGCAGCTGGCAATTCTGCTTTTTTTTCTTGGACGCCTCTCTGTTTATATTCAGGCTGTTCTTGTTTTCTCTTTTTTTTTAAAAAAAAAAAATAGAAATAAAATTATTTATAAGCTATCAAGTCGTATTTTAATTCGATTCATCAAACCTAACAGTGATAGTATCCGATAGAATATGATATTTTATAAATAGATACACGAATATTTGTGAGAGAAAGTCTAATCGTTAGTCGTGTTGACATGTTCTACATTCAAACAAAAATACATAATTATATAATTAATTAGTGCACTTCTGCTTATGTATACTTGTTAAAAATATTCATCGGCCTAGTTGTTAGACCGACCAAACACAAGATCAACCAATTTGAATAATGCTATAACTTATGACCAACAATCTAACATCAGATAGATAATTTCAACCGCTATATTATAAGAGTCTAGGTAGAACCGTTATACACAAAACGAACTCACACAAGCAAGTCAAATTCAATGAGTGAGCCAAGCTAAACTCGGTAAAACTCGAAAATAGAATTATTAATTAATATTGATAAATGAAAAGATGTTGCTCATTATAGACGCATTTAGTTAACGAAAATCAGAGATTCGGCTCGATTAGTTTACAGAACTAAGAGAGAATCTATTTAATTTAACGAATCAAATGCGGCAAAAACATCTCTGGCCTCCACACTAAGGTGCTATTTTTCTGAAGTAAAACGAAAAGAAGAATAAATGCAGAAGTTGACTTTCTAGTAAAGAACAACGACTTTAGGTGGATGCAATGGAATAGAATGAAGCTTTATTGTATTTGGATGAATTTAAATAACTAAATAATGAAAAAGCTTTGATAATGGTCTATGACTAGACGAAAGTGGCTAACCACGTCTCTTAGACTTGTTGAACTAAAAAGAAAAAGGACGTTTTCTAATTTGATTTGGAAGGATAAGGTCAACAGAAAGTAAAGTGGTGATTATATATATTTATATTTACCATTTAAAATTTTAAAGTTGATGAAGTATCTCCCAAAGCGCACGAAATCAACAATTTCCTTCATTCAATTAAAAACTCTTAACACGACTGACAAAAATACTTCAGTTGACGAAGAATTTGGAATCAAACTTTAAAATTGATTTAGGACTATTAAATTGCTTGATTAGACAAATAAAATAAGATATGATTTATCAATTTTCTGATAATTGAGTCATCTATAATTACAATGAAAAATGTAGGCGACAACGTGCACTTAAGATAAATTTTATTTTTATGATAGAGACATCATATTTGTTATCAGAACGTGTCATTTGAAAGATTGCAAGATGAAGTTTTTAATGAAATATGTCTTATGATAATCTAATTGTGAAATTTTAGTTAGTAAAAAAAAAACAAAATAGATATGCCGTTGATTTATTTGTTGACTTAACAGAGTTCCGACCGTTGCATTATTATAAGATTTACCTTGCTAGAAAATCATATTATATGACTTTCACCAAAACACCCGGCTCGGAAGTTAGATATCTTGATCTTTGAAATATTTAAAATAAAGTTTTTTTTTCCTATGCTCACGTACCACCTACTTTCTTCTTCAATTCGATTACCGAATATTATCAGAAATCAATAAATCATACATCATCTTATTCGCCTAATCATAGAGTTCAAAAACCTTAAATCAATTTTAAAGTTCGATTCAAAATTTCATTGTTAATTGAGTTAGATATTCCTTGAGTCATGTCAGGAATTTTTGTATAAGACAAATTATTAATTTCACGTATTTTAGGACTTTTATATGATAATGATAAACTTTAAAAAGACATACTTTTGATTTTTTTTAAGGTTTTCCAATATTTTGGTTGCACAAAAACATAATATGGAGTTTTGGACCAGAGATTGATTTACATTTTCCCAATTAATTTTCCCTTTCGCTTTTCTCTTTCTCGTTCCCAATATTAAAAAAATAAAAAAAGAAAAAAAGCACACACTCGAACATGGAATGGAATTTTGTAAAACTGAGTCTGTTAATCACATGAATTCTGATGAAAGTCACGTGCTCGGCCATCTTTAACTTCACCTTAATCATCATCATCATCATCTTGTGTGACAGGATTAGATTTGCGAACTAAAAGGAAAAAGAGATGGAGAAAAGTGATTCACAACAAAGATGGGTTAGATTGTTAAAGTGAACCAAACTCGTGAATGAGTCAATTTTTGGAAGCAATTCATTGTTGTTTTATTCCCGTCACTTTTTGGGACCCTTCGCAAGCCTCGCTAGCATTTGGGTGTTTTGATCATTGTAGTCAAATTTGTCAAAATGTCGGGCTCGGGCTGACCGGATCAGAGCCCGACCAAGATGAAAAAGAAATGAGATGGATCGGACGAATAAATTGAAAACCTTTCGTAAAATAGAGATGGATTATCATAGTGGTTGATAGATGTGGCCAAGTTGTGCTGTTCTTTTTGGTTAATAATCATGTCCTAACTGGATTTGTTACATGATCTTTTTATTAGTTAGCTAGGAACTTTTTGGGGGCATCATTACATTAGAAGGATATATAATTGATATTATAAATTGATTGAAATCCTTTTATTTTATTTTTTTTCCATTTTACAATTCTACTCCAATTATACGTGCAATTTTTCTGTTTCACAAAAGACACTTCAACTTATATTAATTGCAAATGCCATTTTCTTGCATAAATCAAGCACACTTTCGACTTTTTATAAAGTAACTTCTATAGCATATAGAAATTAATGATAACCAAGCTACGATGGAATAGCGAATGAATTTTGATATAGCACATAATGTAGCTCGGTAGTGCTCCTCAAGCTAGGGGATCTCAGCCAATTAGGATGAGTGGGTCTTAAGCTGCTCGGAAGTATTATGAAGTAGCTTGGACATATTATGAAAGTAGCTTGGACAATATTGTGTCAGTAGTATAGCCCAATCAACATAGTATGAAAGTAGCTTGGACAATATTGTGTCAGTAGTATAGCCCAATCAACATAGTATGAAAGTAGCTCGAACAACATAATATGAA